CTTCTACCTACTCTTGCTCATCATAATTCTGAAGATCCATAATTCCTTCTTCCTTGAATTTCAATATCCTCTCCAGCTCGAAGTGCTCCTAAACTAAAGTGTCGATTCTATTGACCTCACTTACTTTCTCATCATCACCTGGTTGTTTTGCCAAGTTGAATACATTGTGCTCCATTGTCATATTCCCAAATGCCAACTTCATTAGACCATTCCTGCAATTTATCACGGCATTAGATGTAGCAAGGAAGAGTCTTCCAAGTATTACGAATATTTGGGAGCTAAGGTTTGCAGCAGGGTGTGTATTAAGCACAATGAAATCGACAGGGAAGTAAAATTTATCAATTTGAACTAAGACATCCTCAACTACTCCCCTTGGTGTATGGATACTACGATCTTCCAATTGAAGCGTGATTGAGGTGGGCTTCAACTCCTCAAGCTGCAACTGTTGGTACGCCGAGTAGGGGAGAAGATTCACACTTGCCCCCAAATCCAGGAGTGCTTGCTCCACTCGACAATTTCCAATGGTGATGGCTATGGTTGGACAACCTGAGTCTTTGAATTTGGGAGGAGTGTTGGTCCTCAATGTTGAACTCACTTGCTCGGTGAGGAATGTTTTCTTGTGGACATTCAATTTTCTCTTCACCGTGCATAAGTCCTTTAAAATATTAGCACATGATGGAATTTTCTTGATGGCGTCAAGGAGTGGAATGTTAATCTTCACCTGCTTAAATATTTTCAAAATATCAGTATAATTAGCCACCTTGACAAGTGGCTTCAAATGACTTGGGAAAAGGGCAGGCATGGGAGGAATAAACACACAATCATCAATTAATTTTTCTTTCTCAACAACCTCTCTTTCTTTCTCTTCACTCACCTCATTCTTGTCGGCATTACCCAAGATATCTTTTTCTTTTGGCAATGTGGTTTTGGGTGTGACCGTTGGCAAAATGATTTTGTCAATTTTTTTGCCACTGCGGAGGGTGGTGACAACTTTGAGTTGCTCGTAACTCTCTCTCGAAGGTTTCGATGATTCAACAAGGTGTTGACCCCTAGGGTTCTCTTATGGTTGAGCGGGAAACTTCCCCTTTTCTTGTTGAGATGCCCTTATGGATGTGCCATATTGGTTATTGATGGCGATTTGGCTTTGAATGAAGGAATGAACCATATCCTCCAAATTCTTTTTGTGAGGAGGTTGGTATGTGGATAGATTGGACGGTTCTTGAGAAAAACTTTGTGGAGGTAGATTTGGTGAAAAATTCTGTGGTGGTGGGTTTGATGAATACCCTTGTGGAGGGGTCCGGGGGTATTGAGAGCTAGATGCTTGCCCTTGGCCATGGTATTGGTTTTGCTTGGGAGGCATGGGAGATGCATATGCACTTGAACCATGAGGAATGAAGTTTTCATTTCTCCAACTAAAATTTGGGTGATTACTCCAACCCGGATTGTAAGTATTCGAATTGGGAGAAAATGATTGCCTCATTTGGTTAAAGGCATGGACTTGTTCATGGTGCGCTTCTTTAAGGGTCAGAATATTTGGGCAATCCGACAGGGAATGCTCCATACATTTACAAATTGAACAACCCTCCTCGGTTCGTGACACATTAGACACCTCGTGTCTCTTATTGACTTCAAGACTCTTAACTTTCCTTGATAATTTAGCAATTTTTGAAAACAAGTCTTCCCGGTCTCTTAAATCATAAATCCTTTCCCCTTGAGTTTGACCACTCTTTTGAGGAGAAGACCTTGGTACATCGGTGGAATCTGTAATGTCCCATGATTGTGCATTTTGTGCCAATGTATCAAAGTAATCTAAGGCCTCATCAGGGTCTTTGTTCAAAAACTCCCCATTACACATCATGTCAATGAACTGTCGATGGCCCGGTGTGATTCCTTCATAAAAGAAACTCACCAATTGCCATGGTTCAAAGCCATGATATGGAAGGGATTGTAGCAATTTCTTGTACCTCTCCCAACATTGATAGAATTGCTCATTGGGCTTTTCTAAAAAGTTTTGAATTTACTTTTGTAGGGTGGTGGTTTTATGCACTANATTGTAGCAATTTCTTGTACCTCTCCCAACATTGATAGAATTGCTCATTGGGCTTTTCTAAAAAGTTTTGAATTTACTTTTTTAGGGTGGTGGTTTTATGCACTAGAAAGAATTTGTTCAAAAACTCAAAAATTATTTGGCTCCACGATGTGATGGTTCAAGGCCTTAAGGAAATAAGCCACATTTTTGCCTTGTCTTTTAGGGAAAAGGGAAACAATTTTATTCTAGCTATCTCTTCCATCCCATGATTGAGGAGGATGGTTGCAACTATTTCCTCAAAATCCCTTATGTGTGAATAGGGGCTTTGAGTTTCAAGTTCGTTGAACATGAGAATTAGTTACAACATCCCTGGCGTAACTATAAAAAGATGAACTTGGACCGAAAAGAGGATGCATGATGGTGTGGTACTTCGTGTTGGTTGTAGGAAATCCCTCATTGACCTCAACGGGGGATCCATTTGAAAATTATTTCCCTCATTTACGAGAGGGGANTTCGTTGAACATGAGAATTAGTTACAACATCCCTGGCGTAACTATAAAAAGATGAACTTGGACCGAAAAGAGGATGCATGATGGTGTGGTACTTCGTGTTGGTTGTAGAAAATCCCTCATTGACCTCAACGGGGGATCCATTTGAAAATTATTCCCCTCATTTACGAGAGGGGGAAAATTCATTCTTGGATTGGGTATTTGGGGTTCTTGTGGTCCTACACCCCTTTGGACATTTGGATTTGCACCCCTTTGGACATTTGATTTGTACCTATATTGTCAAAATTGTCACCTGCATCCTCGGATTGTTCTTGGTTAATATTCATAGTAGGGGCCAAGTTTTGTCTAACAAATCAATTTCGGTCATTCCGCCTCCACATAAAATAAAATATATACAAACAAAATTATACATAAACAAGATTATGTGCACGGAACAACGTACCTCCACCCATGATGAAGGTCATGGGACTTACCTCCGTCGTCCAGAAATTACCTTATTGGTTTGACACTTGCCTTCCCCGGCAATGGCGCCAAAAATGCTTGACAAAATTTCTTGTTGTTTTCTAAGTTCTAAACATCACCTTTTAGCATGTATATTATATGAATGAAGGGGAGTGTCACTATCCTAGGGATGATGTCAAAAGAAAGGGCAATAGAATGGTGGATGAATGAGATGTCAAATGTGAGTATGTGTAAACAAAAGTGCTCCCCAAGCGCAAGGAGACTTTCGCGGATCGTGTTTTACTTGGTAGTATTCCAAGGTTGTTTCCACGGGGAAGGAATTAAACCGAGGGGAAGGTTATTTTGGGAGAAAGAAAGTGTAAAATCTTTGATTATTGGAAGTTGTTTGGTGAAGTTGTTTTGATGCTAGTAAAATGAGAAACAAATGTTGGCAAATCCAAGAGGTCACTCCAATAGGAATACCGTCTCAACTCGAAACCCTCCTCCAATAGAGCATGAATGAACGATTGATTCGTGGGAAGCTAGGGGTAAGATTGGTGAGTATCTAAGCATAAACCGTGACTAGGCCTACGGAATATCAAAGACTCACCAAGTTATCCACCCTCAACCCAGTCAAACCGAACCATTGAACTCTGAAAGAGGGGAGGAGAATGAGTTGAAATGGTATACCCAAGTGGAGGTTCCTCTTGGTTTTGCCAACTAAGAGATTTAGCTATTCATGCTTAAAATAAAGACAACAATATGATGAGAAGACATTATGAAAAAATAAAGACTAAAGCTAAGCATAAACGAATTGCATAAATTTAACTTTCGGATAACCACCTCTTACTAAAGATTGGATGAGAAACTACTCACTCTTCATGGCTTTGTTAAAGCTAGAAAAGTGAGTGATGCTCATCCCTCCAAGTAGAGGAGTTACAAGGTAAAACACTTTACACAAGGAGCCGATCTTCAACAAAGAATGAGTGAATCACGTTCCACCCTTCACGGCTTTGGTAAAGCTCTAGAAAAGTGGAAGAGTTTCACTCTTCTAAGGGAAGAAGGAAGCTCAAGTAATGAAAATAAAAAAAAAACAATAAGACAATAAAAGAAAGCAATACTTAAAGTAAAAGAAAGCAATAAATTAAAAGAAAGCAATAATACAATAAAAGAAAGCAATAAGCAATAAGGAAAACAATAATACTTTTGAAGGATTTTTCACTACCAAAAGATGAATACTTTACAAGTCCTAAGGGGTGGTATTTATAGACAACAAGGGAGGGTGAAAATCTTGTTAGGTGGATTTGAATTACATGAAAGTCTTGTTAGGTGGCCTTGAAAAGTCTTGTTTGGTGGCCTTGAAAAGTCTTGTTAGGTGGCCTTGAAAAGTCTTGTTAGGTGGCCTTAAATTCTTTGATCCCCCTTTGTTTTGAGCTTTGATAATTGGCACCCCAGTATTTTGTAGCTTTAATGCAATTAGCTCCCCAGTAGTTTATAGTTTTGACGTACAAAACANACCCCAGTATTTTGTAGCTTTAATGCAATTAGCTCCCCAGTAGTTTATAGTTTTGACATACAAAACACTAAAAAGAACAACAATTAATGCATTATCCTTTATTCACACATTAACCCTAATTTGATTTATTTTGACTAGTTTAACTTTATTCAACTAACACAATTTACCTATTAAATTATGCCTTAATTAGGGTTAATCAGTGAGGCAGATCACTGGTGGAATATGATTAAGGAAACCAAGGATGTTAAGAAGATGGCGTGGAAAGAGTTTTATGACTTATTTATGGATAATTATTTTCCCAAAGTGATTAAGGGAGTGAAGGTGCAGGAATTCTTAAGATTACGTTGGAGAGATCTCACTGTAATACAATATGGGGCTCAATTTGTTGAACTAGCCAGACATGCTAGCACAATAGTGTTAGATGAGGATAGTAGAGCTAGGAGGTTTGAATGGGGGGGCTCAGGTCTGCCATTAGAGGTCACGTAATGGTCTTATGCCCCCCAACCTATGCCAAAGTGGTTGAGGCTGCACTAGTTGCCGAAAGGGAGTTGGACGACACCAGGAGAATTAGAGAGTCTAGTTCACGATCTTGATTCACATTCCTGAGGTGGCTTTGGTAAGAGACAAAGAACTTCATCATCATGATCTCAAGGTGGTCAGGCGCAGAGTCATCAATCATTTCAACAGAAACACCAAAAGAAGGGGAAGTTTGTTCAAGGGCAAGGAGTATGTTATAAGTGCGGACAGGTGGGACATTACAGGTGAGACTATCCACAACAAGGACCCTCTCAGAATATTGCTAGACCATAACAAAATATGCAACCATCTTATCCATAACAGGCTCAACCCCAGAAGCAGGAACAAATTGGCTCGATGATGGGATATACATCATATGCCTCTACTGCCCATTTGGATCCCAACAACTTATGAGGCAAAATCATAGCAAGGGACGCGGTGGACATAGCCAACATATACAGGGTAGGGTCTTTGCATTGACTCAACAAGAGGAGTTCGTTGATCATTCAATAATCCAAGGTAATGTTCTGTTATATAGTTCTTGGGTTAGTGTGTTGTTTGATTCAGGCGCATCTCACTCATTTATATCGACGACATGTGCATCTGCATTGGGCTTGGAGTCGGAGCCCTTAGAGACATCAGTATGCATTGACTCGCCCTTGGGTGGTAGAAGTCAGGTAGATCATTTTTGCCAATCTTATGAGTTGGAGATCTAGGGTCTTCGACTAACAGTGGACCTAAGGGTCATGAAAATGGTGGAGTTTGATATTATTCTAGGAATGGATTGGTTATCGACTCATCATGTCACTATTGATTATCATCAAAAAAAAGTGACAGCTTATACCACAGAAGGTGTTTGTTTCCAATTTCATGGGGATAGACATGCAAAATTGCCTCTACCTCTGTGAAATCGCACTGGCGTAACCAATTGATGGGCTGGTTAGCTAGTTTGGTAATCAGTGATGATGATAGCAAGGAGTTAGGTCTTCTTTAAGTTGTGTGCGAATAATCCAATGTTTTCTGGAGGAACTACCTGGACTACCTCCTCGAAGGGATGTTGATTTTTCAATTGAATTGCAACCAGGCACTGCACCAATTACTATGACACCTTATAGGATGACACTTGCTGAACTTCATGAATTGAAGTTACAACTCCAGGATCTATTAGATAAAGGATTTATACGGCCAAGTACCTCCCCGTGGGAAGCGCCAACACTATTTGCCAAGAAAAAGGATGGAAGCTTAAGATTGTGTATTGGCTACAGACAGTTGAATCGAGTGACTATCAAGAACAAGTACCATTTGCCCAGGATAGATGACTTATTCGACCAGTTGAGAGGATCTTGTTATTTTTTTAAGATTGATCTTCGGATCGGGTATCACCAATAGAGGATATAAGATGAAGACATACCCAAGACTGCCTTCAGAACCCGATATGGGCATTATGAGTTTGTAGTGATGCCATTTGGGTTAACGAATGCTCCAACAGAATTCATGGACATGATGCATAGGATTTTCAGTCCATACTTGAATTAGTTTGTTGTGGTATTTGTGGATGATATTCTCGTGTACTCACGAACCAAATCGGACCATGAGCGACACTTGAGGATTGTACTCCAGACACTGAGAGAACACCAGTTATATGCCAAAGCAAGCAGGTGTGAGTTTTGGTTATCTGAAGTGAAATTCTTAGGACACGTGGTATCAGAATTTGGAGTATCAGTGGACTCATCAAAAGTTAGGGTAATGATAAAGTGGGAGCAACTGAAGTCTGTTTATGAGATCCAGAGTTTCTTAGGATTGACTGGATATTATCAGTGATTTATTGAGGATTTCTCATGACTAGCAGCCCCGATGACTAGATTGACTAGGAAAGGAGTGAAGTTTCAGTGGGATGACACTTGTGAGCAGGCTTTTTGTAAATTAAAGGAAAGGTTGACTAGTGCACCTATCTTGGGGATACCAAAATGAGGACTAAGTTATGTTGTGTATTGTGATGCCTCGAAAGAGGGTCTAGGATGTGTATTGATGCAGGCTGACAGGGTAGTTGCATATGGTTCTCGTCAGTTGAAAACGCATGAACAAAATTATCCCACCCATGACTTAGAGTTTGCAGCAGTTGTCTTTGCTCTAAAGACATGACGACATTATCTATATGGTGAGAAGTTCGAGGTGTATTCAGATTATAAGAGTTTGAAGTATATCTTTACTCAGAGAGACATCAACATGAGACAGAGGCGTTGGATGGAATATATTAAGGATTATGATTTCACTTTTCTTTATCACCCTGGTAAGGTAAATGTGGTAGCTGATGCTTTAAGTAGGAATTCACGGGGGATAGTTGCTCGCATAACATCAAAAGAATGGCAAATGGTGGAGATTATTAGTTAATTTGGGTTACAGTTGGATGAGCAGAGTGACCTTGCTTGTCTCTATAATTTGGTGGCCACACCAACACTCCTTAGTCGGGTGATAGAGGCAGAAGGTCAGGATTTAGAGATAGACTCTATCTATTCTCGAGTCCACAATGGAGCAGGAATGGACAGTTGGTCCATACACTAAGATGGGAGGTTGAGATTTCGAGATAGGGTTTTTGTATCCAATAATGAGTCATTGAAAGATGAGGGGCTTAGGGGGTTTCATCATTCTAGATTAGCAATACATCCAGGAGGTACAAAGATGTATCGAGATCTTTGTCGCCAGTATTGGTGGAGTGGGATAAAGAGGGATGTGGCACGCTATGTGGCCAGATACCTTATCTGCTAACAAGTAAAAGCTAAGCATCAAAGACTAGTAGGGCTACTTTAGCCCCTACCTGTTTTCGAGTGGAAATGGGAACATGTGACTATGGACTTTGCGATTGGTTTACCAAAATCTACTAGAGGACACGATTCAGTGTGGGTGGTGGTGGACCAACTGATCAAGTCAGCATATTTTTTGCCAGTTCGAATGACAAACACCTTGGACGCATTCAGTCGATTACACATCAGAGAGATAGTTAGGCTTCGTGGAGTACCGGTGTCGATAGTGTCCGACAGAGATCCAAGGTTTACAACACAGTTTTGATAGAGTTTCCAGGATGCTTTGGGTACTCGATTAATGTTCAGTACAAAATTTCACATGCAGACAGATGGTCAATCTGAAAGAGTAATCCAGATACTTGAACGCATGTTGAGGGCAAGTGTACTAGATTTCGGTGGTAGTTGAGAAGATCATATCCCTTTGATTGAGTTCGCTTACAACAACAGTTATCAGTCGAGCATAGAGATAACACCTTATAAGCCACTATATAGTAGGCCATGTCGATCACCTTTATGTTGCGTCGAAGTTGTGGAGGCTTCATTATTGGGTCCAGAGTTAGTTAAGGAGACCACCGAGAAAGTGGGTCTAATTAGACAGAGACTTTTGGCAGCACAAAGTCACCAAAAGAGTTATGCAAATCAACGGAGGAGACCCTTTGCGTTTCAGGTCAGGGATCACGTGTTTCTGAAAGTGATGCCTCGTAGAGGTCTTATGAGGTTTGGGAAGAATGGAAAGTTATCCCCTCGATTTATCAGACCATTTGAGATTCTTGAAAAGGTTGGTGCAGTTGCACACTGATTGGCTTTGCCCCCACAGTTGGATAGGGTGCACAATGTATTTCACATTTCTATGTTGAGAAAATATGAGCTAGATCCTTCACATGTGGTTAATTGGGGCGAGATGGGCATTGATGTGGATGCCATCTATGAGGAGAAGCCAATACAGATCTTAGATAGAAGAGAACAAGTCCTACGAAACAAGACCATACCCCTAGTCAAAGTCTTGTGGAGACACCGAGGAATCGAAGAAGCAACCTGGGAGCGTGAAGCAACAATGCGGGTCAATTACCCACACTTATTTGAGGATGAAGGTACATTTTTTTAATTAGTTATGTTAGAATTTAATTTCCAAGATGAAATTATTTTAAGGGGGGTAGAATGTGAAAACCCACTATTTATAATTATATCTATTCAGTTATCAAATTTTAAGTTTTAATAGAAAACTCAGATGAAAAAATAGACTTCATCANAAGGGGGGTAGAATGTGAAAACCCACTATTTATAATTATATCTATTCAGTTATCAAAATTTTAAGTTTTAATAGAAAACTCAGATGAAAAAATAGACTTCATCGTTGAATTCCCCTCATGAAAACATCCAACCTGTATAATATTGACTATGTTTAGTATCGAGGACAAATTAGCTTAAGTTAAATTAATTAAACAAAATTAAATAAATTAAAAAAAAATGATGGTGAATAGCACAACCATGGCAGCCTGCCATGACTATTTAGTTGACATTAACCATTTTAGAAGGCAAGGAAGCATAATTGCCTGCCATTGCCACCCATGACCATAGATCACTACTTTGATTGAAGACTGAAGCCCACCCCTCCTTAGTGTATAAATATAGGCAAAACAAATGAAAGTGAAGGAGAAAGAAATCGGGCAGCCTTGGTATTGAAAGATAAACAAAGAGAGAGAGAGAGAGAGAGAGAGGTAATCCACCATTGTTGAGGTGCTAAAGATTTTGGGACGATCAATCCAAGTAAAGAGGTAGGATTATAACTATCTTGTTGTCTTCCTTGATCTATTGATTGTAGAGTATATGTATATATATGAAACATGTGGGTTTATGCATGATGGAATTATACATATATTGGTGTGTATGTTATATACTTATTTGGATGTGTAGGTCTCTCAAATGGGTTTTGTATCTACCAAATAAATTAACGAAAATAATTTTAAGAGATGAAATCAGGTAGAAAAAGACAGAAGAAAAGAAGAAGAAGAAGAGCAGTACTGGGCGTAGATGGAAGAAGATGGAGATGATGGCTTAAATTCTGAAACTACCCCTTTTTAGTTTTATCTACAACATATACCTACATACTGAAATTATAAAATTAAGTCCACGGTTTTGTTAAGTTACAGAAAGCCCCCTTTTGTATTTCATGAGTAACGGATAAGTACCTGTTGAAATTATACAATGACCCCCAAAAGATCATAAAATATTACTAAAACACTAAATCAGTATATTTAATAGTTAAGAAATGTTTTTGAAATTGTATATTGAACCGGAATTGTTATGAGATTGTTTTAGAGATTATAAAATTACACTATATTGCTAGATCATGTGTTTAGAAATTATCTAAAGACCCCGAAAGTTTCTAAAGCTCAAAATAAGAGGCTATCATAAATTTTTAGCTATTTAGGAATGTATTCCTAGGTGATATATATATATAAATAGTATATATATTGGTTGTATAAGTAAGGATGTGATTCTAGTCAACATTAACAACCACTAAAGTATGGTGCTATACATGAGATGTGTTGACATACAAAGGATAATAAAAGGGGACATGTTCACAATGGTGATAATTATACCAAGGTTGAACTAGTACATACTCTTATATGTATTAGCATGTC